TTTCAACACTTAAAAACACTTGAAAAATGCTAAACATAGGTAAGAATTAAGGGGAAAAAAAAGAGTTAAACATGGATTGATTAAAAAAAATAAGTGAAATTTGATGCCAAATCATTAACAGTGAAATTATAATTCACATCTAAACTCTCTTATGTGTTATAAAAATGGAAATTCGAAAAATCAAACCTAGTCTATTAAACCAAAACCCCATTATTTTCAAAAAAATTAATTGATTCAAAGCCAACGATAACATTTTCAACTTTTTTCACATAAACTGTTTCAACCTAAAATCAAAGGCACTCATATATCTAAGATACAAGAACAAAATAGAATAATAATATAAATCTTACCTTGAGTATTTCGAGATTTTTGAAAACCTTCAACAGAATAAAGATACAACAATTATGTGTGGAAAATTTAGAATTAATAGATTTTTTGGTGAAGATGATGAGAGAAATATATTTCAATTTTCATAGTCTCCTACTTTCCTCTCTTAAAGCACATTTATTTATTTTTTGGGCGGTTTTGAATCGGGCGGTTTTTGGACCTCTATTTCTCTTCGAGGCCTCTTGAAATTTGAGGCTCATGGCAGTGGCCTTGCTTGCCTTAGGCCACAGCAGGCCCTAATTATGGTTGATGTAACATGTGTTGACAAATGTTGATTGGATGAAAAATTTTCAAAAATTTAAACTATTCAATTGTGAATTGCTATGTGGAAAAAAAAAATGATGTAAATGATTTACATATAACAAGATTGTTCATAAAATAGCCACAAGTAACAGTATATTGACTAAATGTAGGTCAGCCTTTCCGTAGTATGTTATGATAATTACACTGCACATCTAATAACCCCAAAATACTACCTATTCTATTTAATAGCATATCTATTGTAAATTAGCCTTAATCCAAACAATTGCAACACCACCACGTCACCACCTTCAGCAGCGCCATCACCAACGCTAATATCTCCTTATTTTGCACATCCAAAGTCACCTTCTCCTTTTACATATGTTGCATCCACCATCTTCTTTTACCACTGCTACAGCTGTAATCGTCGCCTTTACCACCACTTGGGGCCGACCCTAAGCCAAAGCCAACTGGAAATGGCCTAGGGCCTCAAATCTTTAGGAGGCCTCAAAATGAAAAAAACATTACATGTTACAAGGCCCCAATTAAATTACTAATTTCTAAAAGATAGATTACTTAAAAAATTCATTTAACTGTAATTTTTTGTTCTATTATAACTTGGTTCGATCTTATTAAAAATAATTTTTCTAGAGTTATATATATATGATAATTACGAGTTACCAAATGAGTCCAATATTGTTACGATAATATGGTTTAATTTGGAAACTAATATTACACATCAAGTAGTTTACTTTAATGAGTTATAACTTGAATTTTGCTTATTCAAATTAACTTTTTTCGAGTCCATAATGTGCCATTTATTACAAATTTTGGAATGAGTCCAATATTGATAAGATAATTCTCGATCTCCAATAAATGCACATTGGGTCCAAATACATTATTGACCTCGAAACCTATTTTCTTTTTAATACCTCAAAATTTCAAATTTATTAAATGGTTCTTGAATCAAAACCATTAGAATTTAATTATGTTTTTCATCACTAAATAATCCTAACTCACCAAGTTATCTTCTGAAAATATATATTTTTCACTATTTTGCAATTCAGTGCCTAAATTTTGTACTTTTGTAACATAAAATCACCATTCTCCTTACGAGTCATCCTTACAATATTCCCATAACTTAAAATTATGGTTCTTAAAACTTTTGCCCGATTTCCGAATCACACCTTACTAGATTTCTACCAATCAATAATTTTGAAAATTATTATTTACACTCTAATAATATTTTTTCATCAATGGGATAATTCTGCTAAATATTATGTTACTTTAGTCTCTCGAGTTGTCGAGATAATTTTTTTTGGTTGTACTAAATTTTCATTTAAAATATAAATATATTATTTATTTAAATATTTAAGTGTTTTTATGCTTGTAAAAACATTACGTTTAAGGGCCACATAATAATGAGTTGGCTAGCACCTCAAAATTCTTAAGACCGGTCTTGATCATAATGTCAAAAAATAATGTACAAGTGACATTTCCTTTTTTCGAAATGTATCCCTTATTTTTGCCAAAATATATATTTTTTTCTTTCTTAATATTTTGGACTACACATTCTCCATTAAAATAATATTTTACTTAAATTCATTTTTTTTTATTTTTTAACCACACATTCTCCAGAAAATCAACATTCTTACATTTTTCCTCAAAATTTGCAGTCTACTAAATGTATAATTATAATCATAATTTCTATCTAAATACAAAGAAAATCATCAATGAAAATTGAAATTGTTTAAATTTTGTTGTGCCTGTATATTTAAATTCACAGCGATAAAAACTTGAATGAATAAGGAGGACTTCTCATAAGTCATAATAAAAGTTCCTGGTTAATTTTAATAATAATCACTAAACTTTAATTTATTTTTGACTCATTATTATGCCCTTGTTCGGACTATGAAGACTATTGGTAGTCGTCACGTAGTGACAATTTGATGTTTGATACATTAATGTGATAATATTTTATTATCTCATTTACCAAATAACTAATTATCACATGTATACTACGTAAGATGACTACCGATAATCTCCACTATAAATAATATTACTCCCATTTTAATGAGGTTTTGGACAGAATGTATTTTGAAATAGTAGTTTTTTGAAAAATGTGTGATTAAAAAAGAAGAAAAATTTAGGATTTACATGTAATTTTTTTTATTGAAAATTGTGTGGTTGAAAAGAAGAAAGAGAAAAATATATTAAACTTAAAATGAAGCCCAAACATATGGCTAAATTACATAAATTATTTGATTGTGACCATCAATTCAGTTTCAATTCAATTTTTAAATGAAATTTGTATGCTTCCGTATGTAAAAAAACACCGTGTTTGATTGCAAACATGAAATCTGCATAGAAAGAAAATTAATTTTAGGCATTTTAATTGCCTAGAACTTATTTCTATGTGAATTTTTAATTGAATGTATTTGATTGATTTAGTTTTCAACCTAAATAAATCATATTTGTCCATTTTTTATTAGTGGGTAAATGTCAGCCCTTTGAAGGTTGACATGCACAATGGCATGAGCACGTCTTGCACTCATGTCGGGATTTTGCGGATATGTATGTTGATGGTGCACACTTCGAATTTTCAAAGCAAGGAAAATGTGGCTTCAATTTGGCTGGTGTTAAAGTGTTTTTTGATTGGCAAGGCATGGGCTGATCCAGTATGTTCTTAGTGGGCTTTAGTTCACAAATTCGGGTGTCCAAATTGGGCACCTGTTTGACACATGTGTTGGCAGTTTTCGTGATCCATACAGGTGAAAAGTATATGTGGTTGTTGGGAATGGTTGTGAAAATCAGTTTCTGGCAGTTCTAAGCCAACTAGGTTGGTTTATCCCATTTTTAGTTAAGGGTGTTAACTGTATACGCATTTTGCTCTATAAATTGGGAAGGCTATTGACCGTTGAGACACAGAGTGTGTTGTGTTCCTTTAATATTCCTTCCTTTTCTTGTATTATTGTGGAGTAATAAACGAGTTGGGTTTACCCGTAAAACAGTGTGTTTCCTTATATTGTTGCTTTTACTTTTCGTGCGTTCATTGTGCAAGTTCATAGGCCGACTGAGTGAAACCTCAGTGCCATCTTAGGCGAGAATTTGGCTAAGTATTTTTACTAAGAATTCGTCCCTGTGATAGTAGATGAGAGATGGGGTCGATGAGAGAGAAAGAGAGAGTGAATTACTTGAAAAATAAAAAGTATCCCTCCTTTAAAAAATATTTTCCTTATTTTCAAGAAAAATATGCCAATATGGTTATGTGATCAAAAGTAGAAAAATATTTTTCTTGAAAAAAGTGCCAATCAAACAATATAAAAGAGCAAATTAGATTAAAAAAAAAAAAC